TGATGTATTAACTAACTGATTCAGCTCACGACAACCTACGTTGCAAAACCAATTTTAACGCGCTATCAACACAGCCACCTCTACTTGTTTCATTCCGCGAAAAGACGCAAGAAAGACTTATTACCAGAAATAAATTGAGTAAAAAAGAAAAAAAAACACCCGGACACCTATGTATCAACCTTTGGTAAAGGAGTAGCTGTGGGATGGTGTGGTGTGGGGAGTTGTGGGATGGGGTGGTGTGGAGAGTTATGGGGTGATGTGAGGAAAGACGAAGCAGAACTGTAAGACCACGCTGTTCCAGTTCCGTGCAAAGGTAATCACTTACCTATATCTTCTCTCAGTAGATGAACCAGCTGGCCTGCCATATATCTTTTCGTTTATTGCCGTCTGCCAGGCTTTTTGACAATGTTACGTTGCTAGCATTTTTTTTTTTTGGTCTCTCTCACTAGATCAAATCTGAAAGTTGAACAAAAGAATATAAGAGTTACCTCTCTTGACATATTCAGCACTGACTTATCGCTGATCATCAATTTGTACCCAGTCTATTTAGCTAATTAAAACATTTAATTAACAAAATTATTGCAATCTTTCCAAATAATTTTGATAGTTGGCATTAGTATCAGCATATTAGCTTCCCTTGATAAAACACGTGTAATAACGTGTTTTATGCTAACATAAATGGAATTAGAAATTAAAACACGCCAATGGCCGTTATAATTTTTCAAAGTAAAAAAAAAAAAAAATTGATATGGCTAGAGAACGAGAAAAGGTCATCTAAAACGGACTAGAAGTCTTCGGGTATTTGGGAGTTCCTTAAAGAGTTTAATAAACTAATGTGCGGAAAATCCTTGCGCACAGTCTTCCGAGTCTACATTTAAATTATTTTATTATTGGGTTTTTATAAAGTCTAGTAGATCTATACATTCACTAAACCAGATTTATTTCTCGAGTGGTGTGGTGGCATTGTAAAAAATGTTTCATTAAAAAAAAAATCAAACATTAATTAGTTATTAAAAGAAAAAAAATGTCTGTACAAGTTGTATATTGTAACTTGTATGTCTCTCTTATTCCGCTGTCTCTCTTTCTCTTATCTGTCGCTCTATCTTTTTTCTCTTTTGTTTCACTCTTTCCCTCTCTTCCCTCTATCTCGCCCAGTCTCTCTCACGTCTCTTTTACTTTCTATTCTCCTTCTCTTTTGTCTCAATCTTTCTCTGTCTTGTCTCTCCGTCTGTTCTCATTCTCTGTCTCCTCAATCTCTCTCTCTCACTCTCTTTGCAATAGGAGAAGGGGGGTATGCCCGAGCCTAGAAACAGGTTAACTACACGATGCGAATGTAAATCTGTATTCCGAATGTGTGTCGTAAATCATTTCTTTCTTACCTAAGTCCAAAGACGTGTGGGGGTGGGGGGTGGGAAGCTATCACACACTGCGCACTACTAGTTACCACCATCTCTTTGTACATCTTGTCCACATTTAGCAAACATTTAAGTTAAAAAAAAAAAGCCATATTATTATTATTATTACTACTTTTGCGAAACGCACCCTCAATGATGACTGGAGAAAGGCGGTCATCAGATCTTGTGTGGTGCCCCAACGGTTCAGCAGACTAAGGGATAGGTAAAGGTGAATCCTCCATGATCCTAGACTAGAGCCTGGTTAGTGCGCTCTGGTCCAATCTCTCTCTGTGGGGGCGGTAGATACCTGAGAGAAGGTTTCCGTGCTGCCATTACGAGCTCAGCCAAAACAACTCGGCCCGAGTTCTATCTAAACATTCCTAATGTAAATCGGGGATTCGAACTAGAGAGCCATCAGTTAAACAGCTAAGCGTTTTCTTACCACTCAGACAACCGAATAAGGTATACCTAACACGTACAACAAGATACAAGCGTAGGACGTCATCTGCTGTTTTGAAAGAACGTCTGTAATTTATAAGATAAGATACTTTGTTTTTCAATTAAAACATTTTAATAAGACATTTCAGTAGGACATTTCAATAGGACATTTCAATAAGACATTTCAATACAGCATCGCCATCTAGAGTCTACGCGTCTTTCTCAGGTCAGATCGGTCTCCCGACGCACCCTCAGTCCGTAGACGTCTTTTGCGTGAACAAAACAAGCCCGCTACAAGAAGTGTTTCTGAACACAAGGATGATCTTGTGAAGACAAAGTGCCTGGATCTGCCCCGGACTCCGCTGTATGTCGAAGGTGCCTGAATCTGCCCAGGACCCCACTGTAGCCGCTTACGTTTGTACCCGAAATTCCATAGCTAACTAAAGGAAAAGGGGATGCAATCATATTCCGTCATCGTCCGGAAACCGTTATAATTGTAGATTTGTTTGAAGATAAAATCGTAAATCAAGTTGTAGATCCAATTGTGATCATTTGAATAAAATAAGTATATGTACATTAAATTTACAAAATTTCATTGCAAAATTCTAAACTATTTGATAATGTCAATAGATCACTCTCGTTATCAAAGGCCGTAGCACCTCTGATGTAAGCACACCATATTCCTACACTTGAAGATAGCTGCAATGAAAAAATAGTCAAAGTTAAAGAAATGATTTTGAAGATCAAACGGTCGCTTTAAATTACAATCTTTACATCCAATCAAGGGCAATTAACCAATTCTGAAGGTTTTTATCGTCTTGTGAACATGTTCTATTGAATTACAAAAATCTAAACAGGCCTACATGTTCTTCTTGTTTCAGATTCTGCAAATTTCTGAGAAAATAGACAAGACATTACGTCACATCAGAGTTAAGTTAAGAGTTTCGATAGCTGAAACCATTGTAGCACGGGATGGGACGTCTGGAAGTAACCAAATAGAACAGAGGAGAAGTGGCAGCTTAACTGAATGGGTGAAACACTTTTAAAACATTTTCTCACAGGACTCTGTCCGGCTGAATCTTGGAGCCGGAGAATTTCGTTCCCAGATGTCGACAATGTTGTATGGACGCTGAAATACATCCTCAACGATAGCTGGGTGTTCAGATGTCAATAGTACAAGTCATCAGAAAGATAGAAGTAGTGCAAGCGGATGCCTTGTTATGCAAACAGTTAAACCCTGAAGAAAAATGGCTTAATACTTGGACTGGACAATAAGAGCGTGATCTCAGCATGGAGCCTTTGTGCATGGAGGCTTACAAATGGTAGATTCAATTGGTCTTGTAGAGTTGAAGGGAAAAGGTTCCAACCTTACATGAGATCATGCATTGGCAACCATTCGCCACAATAACGTATTATTCTGGGTTACTCTGTTGAACTATAGTGTGCGGTATGCGTCATTTTGTATACATTTGATAATAACCATATAGTAGCGATGTGACTGGCTGTATACTAATTTGTCAAAGATGTCAAGTTGACCATTTAGTGAAATGTCTCAGGACTGAGTCCATTTTGTACGATGTCCTAGGAGAGGCGACCTAGTGTTACAATCTCAGACTTAGCTTCATTTTCTTTTGGGTGATGGGATTATAGACAACTCCATTCGGCCAGATATTTTAATCCGCTTACCTCCCCCCTGATTCAAATTCTTTTTTCAGTAGCAACTTGGTCGAAGTGTACCTCCAGCTCCCTCCCCCACCTTGCAACTCCCCTCCATCGCCCTATCCAAAAAAAAAAAAGAAACCGGCTTTTATTGTCAGCCTCGTTTCCGTCAGTTCCAATGAGCTAGTGATGTGTTTGTGACTTTTAAAAATGACCCAACACTTGATGGCGCCAAGATGAAGTCACAGTCTGTGAGGATGTGTTGAGTCCACGTCTGCCGCTGCACTGGTTTATAAAATGTTTATCTCTGAAATGTTTCATCCATGAACCACTACAGAGTTTTGTGCAGCCTGGAAGAACGTCTTATAAGAACGTCTTATAAAACAGAAAGTTCTTGCTCTAGTTTCATTGTCAACTACAAAAGAAAATAATAAAAATATCACAACCAAAATTCGTCTTGCAGAGGTACATTGCAAGAATATGCGCGCGCGCGCGTGTGTGTGGAGGGGGTGGGATTGGAAGATACTTAGGGCCCCCAGATGGGAAAAAGCAGCTATTAGTTTTATGTTGTCTGCCACATCCAGTTCTCAAAATCTGAAAAATTCAATGTCCTATTTTGAAAGGTCCAAAGTTCTGGTGTAACAGTGGCACTTCATCTTCTGGTTTTGATATGAAATTTGTAACGCCTTTTTTTTTTCTTCATAAAAATACAAAAGTTGACGCTACTTACGTTTAATAATGAAAAACGGAGTACTCAGGGAGGGGATTGTCAATATCTGTTTATAACATTTATGCCAACAGTTTTGTTAGTTCCAAAAATATTGTTATACAAAATATTATATTGATAAATATTTTCCGTTTTGTAAGCACTTTGTATATAGATATATATATAGTTGAAATATATTTTGAAACAATATTTAATATGCAGGATCTATTTGTATTATTACAAGTGTTGCCGTATTTTGTACTGTTGTGGAGTACACGACAATTCACGGGAGACTAATTCTCTCTGTAAACTCGTTTTATGTATTAAATTAAGTTTTGACCTCGTTAAATATTATTAATATTTATATTGCAATACTTTTAACTGTACACTAAATCTATCTCGGTGTTGTTTTTGATGTACATTTCTTTGGGTCTTGGTAGACGTGTTGCTTCCAGGACTATTTCTTGGGAGATGTTTCCGTAGCTTGTTATTCGCTAATCCTTTTTTTTTTAGTAGTTCAGGTGTTACTTAGGTCATTCATTGTTTTTATCGTAGAGTAGCAGATTACGTTCTACTAAAATTTCTATTAACCTTAATATTTGAACACCATTTTCCTCTAAGTCTGCATGAGTAAATGTAGTTTTTCAATTGTCTGTCGTAATAAAATGTATGCCACTGCAAAAATGTTTGTGTTTATGTAAGAAACTCGAGCGAGTACTTCATATAAGAACTCAGTTCCGGTTCACGCCCACCAACACACGCAGACACAAAACAAAGAATTCACAAAAACAACGAAACGAAAGTTTGTATTTCATGTTTTTATCTCAAAGCAAAAAAATGTTTTTCAGCTGGACAAAAAAAAACAAAAAAAAAAAAAAGTGCTAAATATAGATTTATTTATTTCCTTACACAGCATTAGTGAACAAACACACTAGAAGATTGGTGGGCTCATACAACGACAGAGAGAGAGAGAGAGAGAGAGAGAGAGAGAGAGAGAGACAGAAGAAGAGAGAATGGTGAAATGAGAGAGAAAGTCATGAAAAAAAAAAAAGATAAAAATCACAGGCAGAGATTTATACAACTTGGCGGGCATCTTTTTTTTTTTGGGCGCTCTGTAGGCGGAGTATGGAGGGGAGAAAGGGGCTGGGGAGTATGAAAGAACAAACACGACACTTGTAGTTTGACCACAGGTGACCGGGCAGACAACGGCCAGTCAACTGATGCAATTGCATAGTCTGCAAATCGACTCCTAAACAAGCGCTAGACCTACGTCCAGATGTCCAGTTCAAACATCAGACATTGACTTCTGATTGCAAAGCAAAAAAAAAAAAAAAAAAAAAATTTTCAGAGAAGTAACTAACAAGAAAGATATTGAAAGACTTTTTGCACAATTCATTTGTTCATTTTAAAATAGACATTAACTCTGAGTAACTCACAAACAGGAAAAGATAACTCAGGCTTTGAAACAAGAGTTATTCCAAGGGTAATTCATTACAACTTAAAATAAAACTGTATATTTAAAGCTAAATTTCAAACTGGGTACAGAAAAGACTTTTTGAGTTTAAATCGATTGTATAAGTCACGTTTGAACAACAACAAAAAAATCTTCATTAGGTCTGCTAATGAGGAATCAGTAAATACTTTCCAGAGATCTGAGTTTGCACAAATACAGAGTCCAAAAATAGATGATTATTTTGGGAGGTGGGGGGAAAGGGAAGGGAGAGATAGAACAACTCTTGAAAAAAAAAATAAAAATGACAGCACAAGTCATGAATCATTGAGAGAAAACAAACCAAACAAAACAAATGTTCTGTGTGTATATTACAGAGTCACAACCGTAGTAGTCAAGTCTATATATAGAAACACCTGACCAATTCACTTCAAGAAGAAATCCAACAGAAAGATTAAACAAAAAAACAACAAAAAAAACCGAAATGATAATATTACGAAGGCGACCAAATCAAAAACAAACAATTTCAAAACACAACTGTAATGTTGGGGGTGGGGGGCAAGACTTCAACAGTTCTGGAGCAGACGTGAGAAATTTAAGGGGGGGGGGGGGTGCGATGACGAGCAGGCGTCAAACTCTAATTTTAGTTGTCAAGAAATACAAAGTAGCTCAAGGGCCAGAGTAAGAGAGAGGGAGATAGAGAGCGAGAAAGGGAGAGAGAGGCCAATATCTATAAAGATTAGTCCTATTACAGGTTTAAACTAATTCCATTCAGTACGAATGGCAGGTCAAAGGTCATACTGTTATGAACTAGAAGGCCCAAGCGGCAATTCAAAAAAAAATGTTTACACCAAAGTTAAAAGCGAAGTTAGTCAAAAGACAACAACCGAAATTGAGAACAACTTAAAACTTTGTTATGGCACTATCCAGTAATAAGAATAATTGGCACCCCTGATTAGGTGTAGATGCGAGTGTCAAGGTCGTAAGGTCAAAAGAAGAAAGTAGGTCATTGAAAAGGTTCTCTTAGAGAAGTTAATCAATGGCACTTTTAAGGAACAGAGATAATGACAAAGGAGGAACAAAAGGGCTTTAGGTGGGTCCGGGGGGGGGGCGTTTGAGTCCGGGGGGGGGCGTTTGAGTCCGGGGGGGGGGGGGTGTACAAACCAAAATGTATTAAAAAAACAACAACAAAAAAAAAACAAAAAACAAAGCGAAAAAAAAAAGATTTTTCAAACAGAAAGTTATGAAACAATCGAATATGCATATTATTTGTCTTGGGCATGAATGAAATAATTACAAACAGCTATATATATATATATATTTATAGGCTTATGGTTATAGTAAATATATATATATATATATATATATATATATATGTGTGTGTGTATTGTATGTATATATTATATCCACGCTCTGGTTTTAGTTGGGGGGAAACATATACATGCAACCTAATCAACACGTCATTCTAAAACGGATCAAATAGAGATCGCAGTTGGCAAACAGTCTTCAGTAGAAAGAGAGAGGCATTTAAATATCTATATATATATATATATATATGTCAGTTTCGTTTTCATTAAGAAATAAAGTAATAGGTTTGAGTTAAAAATAAAATTTACATAAAATTAAAACTAAAAAAAAAAAGCCTTACTAAAATTAAACCCAGACTGGCAGACATACACACACAATAAAGTTGTTTTATAGATTCTTAGATAAATGTCCACGTTTAGATTTAAAAATATTTTTTTTTTTCATTTTAACTATTGTGTCTTTTGTGAACAAACAAAATTGTGTCCGGTTTAAAACAATAATTATTACAGTTATATATCCGCTTTCTTTAAAAAAAAGAAGGGTATGGTACAATATATCATATACAAGTTGTTAAAATATAAAGCTTTTTTTGTTTACATAATATATTTCTATACATGTCTAATACAAGTGGACTATTTAAAATTCATAACAGGTGATAAAAATAGAAAAAATGCACAGCTTCAAAAAAAAATCAAAAAAATCAAAAACAAAGATTTTTAAAAAGTAGTGGAACTAATCAAGGAAACAATCTAGACAGAAGAACACCGTGTCTGGGATGTTGGTCTGACCACATTAGCATCACAACATTCAAACAAACAAACCAAAAATTCCAATCCAATATGGCACCCTTATTTAGTAACATTTCAAACCAAAATGAAGAAAAAACAACAACAACACAATGTTCCAATTCTTATAGCACAGTAACAGCTCCTTGACACGCAATGAAAGATAAATATTCAAAAAGTAATTAACCAAAAAATGATCAAAGCACGAAACAAAATAAACACCAAAAAAATATATATATTTTTTTAAAAATTGGAAAGTGAATAGCAACAAAACTAAAAATGGATTCAATGTCAAAATGAGAATTAGGCGCAAAAAAAAAAAAAAAAAAAAAAAAAGACTTGTCAACATATGATTTTGAAGCTATACAAAATATTATGGCAAAATGAACAACACAAGAGAACAAGAAAGAAAAAAACCTAGATATTTTACAAGAGTGTGTCTCCTAATGTGTCCACGTCTATCTGCTCAAACCTTAGGACGCAGGTCAGTCCTGGAGGTGAAAGGTCTCAAAGAACTCTCAAACCCAAACAAGTCTTGGCTCCATTGAAAAGAACGAACTGAAGACACAGACACATCAAAACTACGATACAACTCACAACAAAAACCCCTGAGGAAACAGATTACGATATTTCGTTTCGTATTTGTCTCTTGGCTTCCAAGCTGCTCTTACTACGCTATTATGCCGAATTTTTGAACTTAAAGAGCGCGCTACCAGGCCAAATCACGTGACCTCACGTCTGCTAACGTCTTCTAAAAATTCTCATAACCAGAACTTAGTTGAATCATATAATAAATAGTATGAACACACGCCATCTTGCATCCTGGGGGAGGGGTAGGTTGAGTGGGAAAGAGGCCATGTTGGTTTGTTTCTACACGAGAGATGATTTAGCTGCCCTGACGATATGATTGTGTGGTCTATCCCGGTTCTCTCACGCCATTAATGCATACATCAGACTCGAGAATGTACAACAAATGTGTGAATACGATATCAAGGGGGAAAAAAACGCAGAAAAAAACCTAAATAGTCCAAAGAATGTTGAAAAAAAAACCTGATGTGACTGGAGAAAGACTCTTGGAGAAAGAGAAACAAAATCTATGGGAATTAAAACTAAAAGATCGCATTATGCCAGATGTCACGCTTCCACACGTCGTGCTCCGTGTCTTGTCCGAACGACCAGGTGGACACGTCCACGGAGAAGTGGTTTCAATGCAAAGTGGTCTATTAGTGCGATGCCCTCCAGACTGCCGACAGAGGAGCAGGTCCTAATGAACTAGATCTCTAACTCTTTTTACAGAGATCCGTCTGTCACGTGATCTAGCTGGGGGGGGGGGGGGGGGGGAAAGACACTGCAACAACGTGTGACAAGATGAAGGCGTCTCCCTGAGATCCTCACAACTGTTGACTGGCGTTCTAACAGTCATGGATCACACGCAGACAACGGACAGAACAACAACAAACAACAGCAACTTTCGCCTTCGCTTTGCTGACTGAATCAATCTTTCATGCCGTTTTCCAGCTTCACGTAAGCGGGAAGAGGTGGGCAACGTATGGCTTTCCCATAATTCCAGACTCAAGTTATCAACCAATAAGAATCAACAGCAATACTAGAATAGATCTAACAGGAAACACAAAGAAATGTAGTAAGGTAACTCCAAACTTTTTCAAAAGTCAAACTATGGCACCAACTATTTCTATAAAAAAAAAAAAAAAAGCGGGGGGAAAAAAGCATAAGAGAATAAATTATGCAAATTTTCTCGCATATATTTAACAACCAAAATAATAATAATAATAATAAAAACTATGAAAATCTTTGACCGCATGAAGTAGAAGTCGGGAGCATGCTACAGGGGACATGGCACATATAGAATACACATTCCACCCTACTGGTAAGACCAGTCACGTGGCTCAATGGTTATACAAAATTTATTTATACAATATTTTCAAATATATATGTATATAAGATGTATAGATTAATGCATATTTCGCTATCACCAACTAACCAAATGAAACCAAACATTGCTTTGTTCATAACATTTTTTTTTCTATTCATTTAAAAATTAGTAGTGAAACAAAAAAAATATTTATTTTTTTTCCTCATAAAAATGTGTGTTGCAATATACATTCTATTATTTAATAGTTAAACAAACAAACAAAAAAGGCTGCGATAGCATACAAACAGCAAATAGAATGAAATTAGGAAATTCCCCAAAAAGATAAAAATAGAAGCAAACATTATGAAGCTGACATATTATGTAAGTTGCCATTGGACAATCGTATTGATCACAGTTCATTAATTAGCCCCTCACCCCCCCCCCCCCCCCCCAGCCCTGCACACAACATCGTAGATGCATATAAGGTAACATTCTAAACATCTCTCTATAACAAACTTTCATTGTCCTGATCAGCTTGTGTGTGGGGGTTACAACATTAGAACGAGGGGTGGGGGTGGTGGGGGGGGG